CACATCCTAAATCTTGTTATGTAAAATAATATAAGATGAAATAATGTAAAAGGAACATTGTCACTTTGTGTTGCGGGCTACTCTCCTTTTCCAAAAAAGAAATTTTAAATCTCCTTCCAGAGTTCAGGTCCAGCTTCCCCTTCAGCATCAGCCACAGCAGCAGGGTCTAAGTCCTCCTCAGTTGGTGCCCCTTTATCCATGTGTGGTGATGCTGAATCCAAGGCTTGGATTCCCTGTGAGTTTTAGGGAAAAGAGCGCTGTCAGCAAGTAGTCATAGGAATCAGTCCATTGCTCAGCTGGCTCCTGCTCAGGCCCTTGAGTCTTCCAGCTCTTAAGTAAGATTCAGTCTCTAGGCCAGAGTTGTGTGAGGACTCATCAGACTGATAGATGGACCTACAATGAGCAAACTTGTACAAAATGGTTAACCTTTGCCCTAAATGTCACACATATTGCATAATTTTTAATCATGTTCCATATTTAAAGTGGGCATCCCTAAAACAGGAATGTGGAAGGGTGTCCCATAAATTCTTACAAAAGGGTCTAATTTAAGCCCACTTCTGGGTGCTACCCTAATTTGGAGCAAGGGAATAGGGAGTGCCTGGTCCCATTCAAATTCATTTTCTGATGTATTTTCACCAGGGATTTCTTTATTGTGTGGTTCATGTTCTCATTCTTTCCCATACATGAGGTTTCCAACATGCATGTTATTTCAATTGAATGTATAATGCCTTTCCAATCTTCTGGCAGAATGGTCCATTGTCACTTAGAATTCTGTGACAAAGTCCAGACCTAGGAATTATTTGTTAACTAAAAGTCTGGCTACCTCACTGACCTTTTCCATTCCAGGGGGTTATGCCTCTACCCATCCAGAAAAAGTATCCACCAAAAGTAATAAAAATTTGAAATTCCCCCAGTTTTAGACATTGTGTAAGTCTTCTAGCCAGTCTTTAAATGGCCATAACCCTGCATATTGTACTTCCTTTTCTGCTGGGGCCAGCTCTGTCATAGGTTTGTTCTGGGTGCATACCTGATGGTCTTGAGTGATCATCTGAATGGCCTTTGCAAATGAGGGCCCTTCAAATGTGGCCTAATGAGGTCCATCAAATCATCCCTTCATGTAGGTGTTTAGAAATGAGATACACCAGAGCTTCAGAGAGAAAGATTATACCTTGAGTGTGGATCTTCCATACAGAATTAGGGTCACTGTTAGAGTATCCCCATTAACGGGCTTATTCCTCATCTTGTTCTGTATACAGGGTTTAAATTTTGACAAGTTCAAATAGGGGGTCAAAACTCCTAAGTGTAGTGGTCCTCCAGCTGCTTGTCTCACTGCTTTATCAGCAGTTGGGTTTCCCTGACTCATTTAGGAACCATCCATTCTGTGTCCTTGGCAGTGTATTAAAACAATCTGGTTCAGTAGGTTCACTGCCTCTAGCTATTGTAAAATCTCTTTTGCATGTGTGACATCCTTGTTTTCTGACATTAATAGCCCTCTCTCTTTCCATATTGCACCATGGGCATGGATACCATGAAGGTATATTTGGAGTTGGTGCAGATGTTAACCTTCTTTCCCTGAGACATTACTAAGGCCCTGGTGAGAGCTACCAGTTCAGCCTTTTGTGTTGAGTTTACCAGCGCAAGGGCCTCGGCTTCTATTACCTTGTCTCTGGTGACTACTGCACACCTAGCTCATGATCCACCACCTTCCATGAGGCTGCTCCTGTCTGTGGATAGCTCCCACTCTGGTGCTGTCAGTGGCTGACCCAATAGTTCTGACCTGCTGGACTAGACTTGGTTAATGATTTCTCAGCTGTCATGCTGGAGGGCTGAGTCTCCCTCTGAGTCCAGGATCAGGGTGGCCAGGTACAAGGTTGTGGTAGTCTGTAAGGTTTGAGTTGTCTAACAGAATGACCCGATATTTTCCTATACACCCTGCCAACAGCCAATGCCCTCCTTTCTGTTCCAATAGAGTTAGGACCTGGTGTGATATGTATACCATAGTAGGCTGCCCCAAAGTGAACATCTCAACTTCCTGTAAGATGCCACATGTACCTGCCACTGCCTAAAAGCATGGTGGCCATCCCTTTGTCATGTGATCCATTTTCGTTCAGAGATACGCTATGGGTTGGGGGATGTTTCCCAGAGTCTGGATTAGTAACCTCAGTCCAGCCCTCTGCCTTTCATGAATGTATCATTTGAATGGTTTATTCATTAGGCAATCCTACTGTAGGAATTGAAACTAACTTTTCTTCAAGGTGTCAAATGCTACCTGACAATTTCTTGATCATTCAAAAGTTTCAGACTTCAGTCATTTTAAGGAATTATACAGTGGTTTTGCTATAATCCAAAGTCTGGAATTCAAATTCAGCAGAATGCTGTAATCCTTAAGAACCCATGAAGCTGCCTCTCATTCTCTGGGATTTTTATTGGAGCAATTGCTTGTTTTCTATCCATCATCAAGGTCTTAGTACACTGTTTCAGTTGAAACCCAGCTATGCCACCTCTTGTTTCTAAATCTGGGTCTTGTGAGGGGATAGTTTATATCCTGTTTTTGCCAAATGACTCAGGACTGTGATGGTATTAAGCAAATGGTACTCACAGGTATCGGTAGTTATCAGTTAAGTCATCTATGCATTGTAAAAGAACTCCTGATTTCAATAAAAAATCCCATAAGTCTTTTGCTAATTCTTCCTAAAACATACTCATAGAGTTTTTAAATCCCTGTGGCAACATGGCCCAACAGTTTGCTGCATGGCTCTAGTTTCTGGGTTCTGCCATTCCAAGGCAAATAATAGTTGAACCTGTTCATCCATTGGGATGCAGAGAAAGTCATTCTTCAAGTTGAAAACTGAAAACAATAGGCCATCCCCAGTCACCAATGGTCAATAGAGTATAAAGGTTGGGCACCATAGGATGAGTGTCCTGAACAATATCATTTATGGCTCTAAGATCATGTGCAAATCAGTACTCATTAATAGTGTGGCTCTTTAGCAAAATGGGAGTGTTAATGGGACTGGTGTGACTGAGTAAGCCCTGATATTAAAAATTTTGTAATATAGGCTGAATCCCCTCTAAAGCTTCCTTCTTAAGGGGATATTATTTCTTTCATGGGATCATTGCCCCTTCTTTTACATTAATTTTTATGGGTGGAAGTTAACCATTTTACCTGGAGTTCCATCAGCCCAAACAGTTTGATCAACCTGCTCATACACCTTGGGAGAGAAGAATCACAAAGGGTGCACGCAGCCTGGTGGCACATCATGCCCAAAGTACCACTCTCTGACTGTGAAGTGCCGCCTGCCCCTTCCTCAGGTAGCTGATCTATGGCACATACGACAGGGACAGGGTGGCCCATCAGTGACAACCACCACCAGTGTTGGTAGTCATGGTCAACCGGCCCCCAAGTGTCTTTTGCACTTCCATCACTCCGGGTCATTTTGGGGCTTCTCAATTAATTCCAAGTCTTTCCCTTCTGGAACGTGAGCTTTTCAGTGACTGAACTGAAAGTATACAGTTTCTGGACCACATGCAGGACATAGGTGCATGGCCATTATTCAGGTGAGCTTGCAGCAGGCTAGGAAGCTGGGGAATTCGGAGACCAGCTCTTTCACCATCTAGGATGTAATTGGAGGGAGAACAGCTCAACTGCCTGTTGTAGCCACCATGCCAGCAGCCACTGCTGCACTCCTCCATGACAATGACATGTGATTCCATCACCAGGGACAGTAGGTCTACCTTCACAGACATGTAAGCAGACTTGACAAAGTCCACAAATTTGAAGTCAGAGGTGCAGTTGGCATGCTCTTATTGTCAGGGTACTCAATGCTGGGTGTCAGGGACATGTTCCAACACTGGTCTTCCTCTTGGTCTTGCTGAGGCCTTATGTTTCCTTTGGATGCTTCATGAGGGAGCCCTTCTTTGGACTGATCTGCCTATCAACATAATATGAAGGCACATAGACTGTCCTTCTGGCCACATTCCTCACCCACATCCTGGAGTCATTCAGAGGACACATGTGCCAGTTCCTGATGTCATGTTTCAGGTGGGAAATTCAGTCCCATCTGGCTATAACAACAACTTCTGTAATCTTTCATGGGGGCCTTCTTTCATGGTGCTCAGTTAGGAGAGATGTCTGTCAAAACAGAACTACTCAAAAGGAGAATTTTATAGCTGGTTACACCTCTGAAGTTATAAACCTGTAGTTGGCTCGCTCAGGAACTGATTCCCTGGAGGCACCATTAAGAGAGAGAAGTGAAATGGGGAAGGGGAAACCAATGAAACCTGCATTACAGAGCACATTCCCCTGTGACTGAAGTTTGATGCCCTGTGGGTCCTCAGGAGACAGTGTAGAGCACACCTCAGAGTGCTGTCTCCTGGGGGATAAGGAACTGCCATCTGTCACTGGTTGAGTGCCCCTCCTGGAGCATTCACTCCCCTGGGGTTCTTGCCTGCCACACTCATGCTTAATACAGACACCGCAGACAGGAAACCACCAGTGCTTGTAGAAGAATATCCATGGCATGTGCTTCAGTGGAAGGTGCAGAGGGGTACTGTCAGGACCAATAGTATCTGCTACACCATCCATTAGCCGCTTCACCCCACCATGACCAATTACAACTTAAGAATGAAAAAACCAATGCTCAGTAGATTAACAGTTCAGGTCATGGAATTCACGAGAGTGGAGAGTTGGGTCTCTTTCATTCACTCTTTATCTCCAGCTTCTACATCAGGGCTGGCACTATAAGACCTTGATTAATCTTTGCACAATGAAGGAACATCACATAGCAACAATGACTTGGTCGAGTCAAGACCTGGGCTGGGATCTCCTCCAAAAAGACCCATGTTTCCCCAACTGACCTGGTAAGAATGTAACATTACCAGCAGTTAGCACAGGGTATACCATGTGGGTGCAAAAAACAGTTGTTGAATGATTAAATGGTGAAACAAATCAAGAAATGTATTCCATACCTTTATGTTCCATCTTTCCTTTCCTTACTCAGGAATCACAGAAAAATACTCTAAAGAAAGTGGAGAGATGCCCTGCCACACACAGTCATGGAAAAATGAGGATTTCCAACAAAAATTCACACAGCTGCTACTTCTACACAGATCTAAACCCAGAGGCAATGATTTTCCACTCTGGATGAGGAAACATGAAGTTACAGATGGTCAAAAACATTTGATTGAGGTTGGAGATTTATTTGGCCCAGGCCCAGGTACCCAAGGAGAGCCTCTCACAGTTGTACTGCATGGGGTTGCTGGAATTGGAAAGTCAACCCTGGCGAGGCAGGTGAGGAGAGCCTGGGAGGAAGGCAGACTGTACAGGGACCGCTTCCAGCATGTCTTCTACTTCAACTGCAGAGACCTGGCCCAGTCCAGGACACTGAGTCTCCCTGAGCTCATCTCCAAAGACTGGGCTGGCCCTGCAGCTCCCATTGGACAGATCCTGTCTCAGCCAGAACAGCTGCTCCTCATTCTTGATAACTTGGATGAACCAAAATGGGACTTGAAGCAGCACAGTTCTGAGTTCTGTCTGCACTGGAGCCAGCAGCAGCAGGTGCACACACTGCTGAGCAGTTTGCTGGAGAAAATCTTACTTCCTGGGGCTTCCCTGCTCATCACAGCTCGGATCACAGCTCTTGGGAAGCTCACTCCTTCTTTAAAGCAGCCACGCTGGGTGGAGGTCCTGGGATTCTCTGAGTCAGCCAGAAGGGACTATTTCTGCACATACTTCACAGATGAAAGCCAAGCAGTTAGAGCCTTCAACTCAGTTGAATCAAACCCAGCACTCTTGACCATGTGTGTCATGCCCTTGGTGTCCTGGCTGGTCTGCACTTGCCTGAAGCAGCAGATGGATCAGGGGCAAGAACTCACACTGCCCTGCCAGACGACCACTGCTCTCTGTCTGCACTACTTTTTCCACATCCTCCAAGTTCAGTCCCTCGGGACTAAGCTGAGGCAATTCTGCTCTCTGGCTGCTAAGGGCACCAGGCAAGGAAAGACCCTGTTCAGCCCTGAGGACCTCAGAGAACATGGGTTACATGAGGACATCACCTCCACCCTCTTAAAGATGGGTGTTTTTCAGAAGCACTCCACCTATCTAAGCTACAGCTTCATGCACCTGTGTTTCCAGGAGTTCTTTGCAGCAATGTCCTGTGCTTTAGGGGATGAGTTAATAAGCCTCAGAAATATGATGGAGTTGATAGAAGAATATGCGATGGTTCAGGTGTTTGGGGAACCAATCACATGTTTTTTATTTGGCCTTTTGAGTGAGCAGGGGATGAGAGAGATGGAGAGCATCTTCAAATGCCAGCTGTCTCGGGGAAGTCATCACAAGCTGCTACAATTGGCCAAGAAAGAGATCAACCACGAACAGCAGAGCCTACAACCATATTGTTGGCACTTGCTCCACTCTTTTTATGAGTTTCAGGATGCAAATTTTTTGACAGAAGGAATATCTGATTTCTTTGAAAGAAGTACATGTGTCCAAACTGACATGGAGCTCCTGGTGTTCACTTTCTTCATTAAATTCAGCCGGACCGTGAAGACACTGCAACTGAATGTGGGTGGACCTCACAGAGAAGCACAATGGCCTTCAGATGTCATTCTGTGAGTCCTCCCCCTTTCTTTCCCCCAGCTACTTTGTTGTTGCCTCTGTCTTGAGTCCTGGAGGAACTCCCACTAAGCCTGGCCTCAGTAACTAAAGGACTGAGGTCACCATGGAGTTCTTTCGACCCATTGTGACCCCCATTCTCTTTCCACCTAGGATTCTGTGCAACAGTGTCTAACCATGTAGCCTTCCCTACAAGCTTCTAAGTGGCCTGCTGTAGCCCTGTCTTGTAGTGCTGCTTCTCCTCCTGTCTCTCTCATTATGGCCACCTTCACCCCGTGTGCACGTCCACCCCCAGACTCACATCAGCTCCCATCCACTCAGCACCCCTGCCTCTGTTTCTTCTCTGACATGCTACCTTCCAGGCACTGCTCACTGACTGCTTCATGAACACCTTTCATACCTATTGACATGAGCTTGGCCCTGAGATCTCTCCCATCACCTCAGAATGTGTGTGTGTCTGAAAAGTTGTCTATTTCCCTGAAAAATGAATTTTCTTGTATGTGTCAAGGATGCACAATTGTCTCAGGAATCTCCTTCTGAACATGACCTGTTAGCTTTCTCTAACATCCCTCTAATCCCTGCAACACTGTTAACTTCCATGTCTAGGTTCTGCAACTCAGTGGTATACTGATCCTTTAGTTCTTTGAAGTACTTATCTTTCTTGTAGATAATTCACTCCATAAATGAGTATTATACACTTATTTTACACCAGACCTTAAATATCAAAGATTAATAAAGCACATATCTGTCTCAAGGAACTAGAGCCTGGGAGAGAAGTCAGACATCTGTCCAGTAACCAAAATAGAGTAAAAATTCTGTGATAAGAGAGGCACCAAAGAGGCAGTTGGTAGCCCAAAGAGGGGAGGGATTCCATGAGTGTCCCACAAAACAACAGAGATGCCAAGGAGGAAATGTAGGACTTCTGTGTTTTACACTCAGATTTATAATTTTTTTCTAATATAAAACTCATGTACATTGTAGAAAAATGAGGACATATAAATAAGCAACAAGGTCAAAATTAACTATCAACCATAAATCCATCACTCAGAGGTGACCATCAATCAAAATGGAGATATAGGGACTTCAGATCAAGATGGAGGTATAAGTAAACATGGCTCACCTGCTTACACAACCACATCAAAATTATAACTAAATATAGAACAACCATCACTAGGAACCATCAGAAATTGAGTTGAATGGAAGACCAACATCTATGGAAACACAGAACCACATCCATCCAGATTGGTTGGAGGACCAGAGACAAGACATGGCATTGACTGGCCCCACACTCACATGTCATGAATAAAATTTTGGGAGAGATATTGGGAGCAAGGGTCCTAGTTTCATGTCAGAGCCCCCAGCACAAGGTTCCAGTGCCAAGAAGATAATTTCCCCTAACTTCTGGCTGCAAAACCATCAGGGACCGAGTCAGTGAAAGAAACTGCTGGAGTCCAAAGCAGTTCCTCTTAAAGGGCCCACACACAGACCTGCTCAGACTCACTCCTAAAGAGCCACAACACCAGAGAGGCAGCTTGAAGAGCACCAGTGGCATATGGGGCAGGGGGACAAATATCTGGCATCAAGATGAGACTTGGGGGCCAGCTTTCTCTGAGACAGTGAGTCAGGCACAGACCATATTGCTTTATTTAACTTTCGCCCTTAACAGAACCACAGAGCCAGCAGATCAGTGCCATATATGATACTCCATCAACCTGCCTAACACTGTTTGCCAGCTGTGGAGATCCTCTGAGGCTCCACCACACCAATTTGTAGACCCACTCAAGCTGTTTTCAGTGGCTGTTCTATATGAATGGCTACTTTTAGCTAATGCTTCACAACTTCCTCAATTAACTCAAACAAGCAACAGCCGACCTCAGCTAGTTCCCAGTCCTCATACCTCTTGCTAAGTGTCCCCAGGACTCACACTAGCAGCAGCCAGCCTAGGTCCACAGCTTGGCTTCATCTGCAATTTCCAAGCTCAGCAAAAGTAGCAGTCATCTGTAGATTGTTTTGTAGCTCATGCAGGGTGGCGCCAGGCAGAACACTGGTGGGAGCAGACGTTGGCCTGCACCACCCAGGAAACATCAAAACCTACACACTGAGTAAACAACTACCAATCAATTGGAGCACCACCACCCTGCCCCTACACAGCTGATACTCCACAAAGGGCAGATTTTGGTGGTCAGTGGTCCTAGCCAGCATTTGCAGTTGACTGGCCTGGGTAAATTCCTCCAGTTGATTGGTCAAGAGCAATCAAGACTCAGCTACAAGAGGATGATGTACTCAGCCAACACAAATGGCACACCTCATGTATGCAGCTTGGGTGATAGGGGTCGCTGTGCAACTGAACTCTACAGGACACCTATTACATTAGGCCACTCTAACAAGACAAGGAGTCACAGAAGCTATACCTAATACATAGAAACAAACACAGGAAGACTGCCAAAATGAGAAAATAAAAAAAATGGTCAAAATGAAAGAACAGATCAAAACTCCAGAAAAATACTAAACAAAATGGAAATAAGTAACCTATCAGATGCAGACTTCAAAACACTGGTTATAAGAACGCTCACGGAACTTAGTGAGGACCTCAACAGCATAAAGCAGATCCCATCAGAACCAAAGATACACTAATTGTAACAAAGAACAATTTACAGGGAAACAGTAGAGTGGATGAAGCCAGAATCACATAACTGATTTAGAACATAAGGAAGAAAAAAAAAACAACCAATTAGAGCAAGATGAAAAAAGGAATTAAAAAAAGAAAGAGAATGGAAGAAGCCTCTAGGATAACTTCAATCATTCCAACATTCCCAGCACAAGGGTGCCTGAAGGACAAGAGAAAGATGAAGAAATTGGATATCTATTTGAAAAAACAATGAAGGAAATCTTCCCTAATTTTGTGAAGGAAATAGACATACAAGTCCAGGAAACACAGAGTCTCAATTATGATGGATGCAAAGTAGCCCACTCCAAGACACATCATAATTAACATGCTAAGTGTTCATGATAAAGAGTGTCTTAAAAGCAGCAAGAGAAAAGCAGTTAGTTACCTACAGGAGAGTTCCCATAAGACTGTCAGCTAATTCTGAAAAGAAACTTTGCAAGGGGAAAGGGAAAATGGTAGAGTGGATAGAAGTCACACTGACCTCCCAGTGCCAATCTGGAATTACAACACAATTGTGGAGAAACCACCTGGAACAAACAACTGAGCAATAACCAGACAGAAGCCACGTGACTTTGGACAGACAGAAGAACCAGCTTCAGCACAACCTGTCTTGTAAGGAGTGTGGTAGAGACTCGAGAGGGCTGGCTGGGCAGCCACAGGTGGCAGCGCCAGAAGGATAATTAAGTGGCCAGTTGGATTCCTTGTGAGAAGAATGGGGTCTAAACCCTAAGCTAGGATTCCCAGCCTATAGCACCTGAGCCCCCAAAAGTACACACACAACAATGAGCAGCAAAAAAACAGCAAGGTTGCAGAGACAGATGGCTGGAGATACAAGAGCCATTTAAAGGGCCAATGCTCAAATTTTCATTTGTAGCCATTTACCCTGGGCTCTGTCAAAGGTAGGGGTAGAATGGGCTGGTGACACCTGAGGAAAGACCAAGGACTAAAGCCTTGGCGAGAGAACTGAGAGTGTACAGTCAAGGATCCTGGTGCTGAGTCATCCCCCAGAGAGCAGCACCTCTCATGCTCAGGCAGACCACTCCCCTCCAAGTGGCAGCAGCCTGAGGGGAAACAAGGTCTCTTCCCTGGCTCTGTGGTGCTTAAGCCTGATTGCTAAGTGCAGAGTGACTAGATGAACAACTGAAGGAAAGAACCAGGGACACTAGATCCCTGCCAAAGGCAGGGCAGAATAGTCTAGAGAGACTTCAGGAGAGTCTGGTGATGGAGGCCTTGGGCAGAGAACTGAGAGAATAGCTCCAGGATCCTGGTTCTGAGCAAACCTCCATATGCAGCAACCATCCTGGTCAGGCAGACCACTTCCCTCTGATCAGCAGCATCCTGAGAAGAAAAAATAGCCCCCACTGCTGAGATTTGGCCACACCCTATGGCACTTAAACCTGACTGCTGAGTGCAGACTGACCAGATTAACAATCAAAGGAGACAGCCAGGGTCAGCAGATCCCTGGATGTATTGAACAAGCTGGCTAAGGTCAGACAGGGTTAACATCTGACATCACCAGAGGCAGATCCAGACAGAAAAGAAAACAGTGGTAAATACAAAGGGGCTACAAGAAAGCCACTGTGGTCTTCATGATTTGCCATAGATTGTTTCCTGCATAGATTTTTAACATTCATTTCTTGTCTAGCAAGTTTGTACATATTAAGTCACTAGATTTTATACTGAAGTGTACTTCAATTCACATATGTTGCCCCTCCCTCCTCTTAGCCCATTTTACCTTCTTCTTTCCTCGCATTGTTTTCATTTCATATTTTGTTTTCTCTCTAGCTACACCTTGTTTCCATTCCACATTCTTACTGTTTCTCTCCCATCCAGATACACAAAACCAATTTTCTTGTCAAGGGTCATCTCATATCTTTTTTCCCTGCTCTTAAAATACCCACATTCTCTCTCCACCTTTAACAATCTTTGCTAGTTGATTGTGGGTAAGGTAGTTGTTGTTGCATTGTTTTTCAGTTGTATCTCTACAACTTAACTATTTCTGCATTTCAAATACCAAATTTTACTGGTTCTCTCTCCTACTCTTTTTTTCATCTCAAATTTTAATTTTGCCATCTTAGCCTATTCTTTTTCTTTTTATCTTCCTTCTATTTCCCTTTTATCTTGTCCTTTTATTTTTTTATGCTCCTTTTTTTCTCTTTCCCTACATCCCAAATTTTAATTTTTTCCTCTCTTAGCCTGGTTTTTGTTCCTCATTCTTAGTATTCTCTCTCCTTCTGTCATTTCAAAATCATTTCCCACTCCTCTAAACATCTCTTAGACTTTTCTTTGTTTCTTCTTCCCTCTTATTCCCATACCATCTATACTAAT